TAACCAAAGCACGTGCCCCCGACCCAAATTGAACCTGGGACCCCTAAGTCCGCAGGCCGATGCTCTATCCACTGAGCCAAACCGGTTTAGGGCTTTTTAAAATGTTTTAATCCTCACCCAAGGACATGTTTTTATTGATTTTAGAGAGAGAAGGTGGCTGGACAAGTGTAGTCTTATTCTCAGGGCTGCCACGTGTGTTTTCATAGGGGTCTGTGGGAAAAGTGGAAAGTAGGGTTGTTAGTGACAGAGGCAATAGGAAGGGGCATTGTCAGGTTGCCATTCCTCTGAGTTTCAGCAACTACGTATTTATACCTCTCAAATTGACCCAGTTCTGGGATAGTTGTTTCTGTAGTCACCATTAAAGGTGGAAAAGAACCAAAAAAGACAGTGGTAATAATAGACTGATTTCTGACCTATTTCTCCTTGAATACTTTCCCAAGAAATAGAGTTAAGATAAAGGGTAAGTTGTTGTCAGAGTGATACTTGGTGTTTAAATATCTTGCCTTTGGAGTGTGCAAGGGCCGTAGCCTCCCTCTCCTATCTGTTAACACCTAGCTTTTGGAAATCTAGCCTTTGGAAAAGTACTTACCCATTACTGTTTCCAAAATACTTGTGAAAATCCAAGCTGCGGCTTGCTATTGACAAAGAACACAAAGGCTCTTCTTTCTAGATTTAGTTGAAAATCTCATATTTAGAGCTGGTCAGTCAGCCTTCTACAAACTCACTTGGACCCATTTTGTTTTTTTATGCTTTCATCAGTCAGGGAAGTAGGTAATTTTATGACTCTATTTCTCATATATTACATACCTTTCCTAGAACCAGTAAATCCTTCCAGAGGAAGTTATGTAAATACTGACTTTCTAAAATGAGCTTCAGAGTGGGACTAGTTGGTACGCAGAAATGTTTATTGAATGAGTAAGATTTTAGTAATGTGCATAGTTTATGGGCTGTGTAGCTGGGGGAAAAGTTATAAAACTAATTTCAGTAACATTTGACATAGAACATTAACAATCACTTCTTATGGGAAAAAACATTAATAATTGTACTTATATATTGGTTTATGTTTTTCACAAAGTTTCTCTGTGTGTAAGCTCTTTTTAAAAAGTATTTTTTCATTGATTTCAGAGAGGAAGGGAGAGGGAAGAAGAGATAGGAACATCAATGATGAGAGAGGATCATTGATCGGCTGCCTTCTATTGGGGATCAAGCTTGAAACCTGGGCATGTGCCCTTGACCAAAATTGAACCCAGGACCTTTCAGTCCACAGGCCGACACTCTATCCACTGAGCCAAACGGGCTAGGGCTATGTGTAAGCTGTTGACATAAACTAGATGAGTACTCCTATCACCCCCATATTACAGGTGCCTGAAATAAAGGTTAAAAATGGTAGTTTGGGGATTAGAACCCATAACCTAGTTTAGTACTCTTTCCTCTCCAAACTGTTCAGGTAAAAAAGTTTGCATGAGTTTGTGATAATAAGAGAACAATAAAGTAATGGGTGCATTTATTTTACCATACTGTGTTACTTAATTTAAGGAAATACCTTTTATTCTGAGATTCTTTCAACAAATACTAAGTGCCCAGCCTTGTACCAGGTTCACAGGTACTCGATATTATGTTGAATAATACCGATATGGAGCTTATGTTCTAACTAGAGGCCCAGTGCACAAATTCGAGCATGGGTGGGGCCTGGCTGGCCCAGCCATGATTAGGATTGGGAGGAGGGGCCGTGGGCACTTGGCTGGCAGGCCGCACCCCTGATTGGAGTTGGGAGGCTGATTGGGAGAGGGGCCAGCCATGGGAAGGGGCTGTAGGTGGTAGGCCAGCTGGCGGTGGGGGGAGGCCGATCGGGGGTCAGCAGCCTGGGGGAGGGGCCATGGGTGGTTAGTCGGCCTACCCTGCCCCTGATCAGGTTGGAGGGACTGATCTGGGGATGGGGCCAGGCAGGGGGAGGGGCTGCAAGAGGTTGGCTGGCTGGCCCCACCCCCTATTGGGGTGGGGGTGTGTGATTAGGGGTGGGGCCAGCTGAGGGGGGGGGCTGCAGTCCTATCATGGTTGGGCAGGCCGATCAGGGGTAGGGCTGGCTGAGGAGAAGGGGGGGTGCATTTCGCTGGTTGGCCCTGCCCTTGATCAGGGTGGGAGAGTCCGATCAGGGGTGGGCTGGCCATGGGGAGGGTCTGCGGGAGGTTGGCCGGATGGCCCCACCCCCTGATTAGGCCAGTTCACTGGCCACAGTGGGCATCATAGTAATAAATAAGTAAACAAGCAATAATTAAGTTCAGGTAATAATGAGAGCTCTGAAGAAAATAGAGAAAGGCTGCTGGTGTTATTTTCATTTATTCCTGAAAAATGGGCATCAGGGTTTAGAGTACATATGTTTTAAAGAGAGACTCCTTCCTAGGAAATCAAGAAATCATAAAACATCTTTTCAATATGGTATTTGGAGGATTCTTTCATATTAATATATTTTGTTCTTTTTCTTCAACATTAACCTAAAGTCCAAAATTGGCTTAAGTCCAGAGTGTCTAATGAGGCTAACGATCTGCTGCTTTAGGAACCCCTGACCCTACTTCTTTCATGACATTGAGGCTACGAGAGCCACGCTTATTGCTGGCCAAAGATACATTTTTACCATTTTCACTCATCTTTACAAAATAATGTAGGTAAAATATTGCTTTCTAATTTATTTTTAAACTAGCAATAGAACTTTTCTTCAGTGAAAATTCCTGATACCCAGATGTAAAACAGCTATGGCTCCAAATCCCAGGCTTCCTCTCCTCTCCACTCGAATGGCCTGGAGGAGCACCTGGGAAGTCACTAAGGCTTTTCAGAGCACAGGATGAAAACCGCAATAAAAATTCAGATTGTAATCCTGCTGTAAAAAGATAGCTGTGTTGCTGAAACTGGCAGAGCCACCATACTAGTGATTCAAAATTATATTTTGAAAGTCCACATTTAGTGAACAAATAGGTTTATACCAGTATATACATTTTAACCTAAAAATATATTTTCAGGTAGCATTTACTATATAAAGCAAAGTCATTCTTTCATTGTAGCCGAAAATTTATTGAGATACAGTTGACATATAGCCCTTTATGAGTTTGTGTACAGCATAGTGATTTAACTTACATATATTGTGAAATTATTACTATAATACAGAGTATACTTTTTATGTTATGTGGGCATGACAGTACTATGGGTCTAAAATACTTTTCATCTAATTTAAAAATTAAATTTTATATTGACCAAGAATTATTTTTTTATAAATTAATTATAAATAAATCCATATGTTTTATATATCGTTATAACATAACTAGAGGCCCAGTGCATGAAATTTGTGCAAAGGGCTCAGCCCTTACAGCCTTGGCCACCCTTGTAGCCCAGACTTCGTCTGGAAGGTCGTCTGGATGGTTGTTCTGCTGTCTGGTCTAATTAGCATATTAGCTCTTTATTATGTAGGATTGATTTGCTAGTTTAGATTTTTTTTCTTTTTGTCTTCTAGTTTGCCCGAGTGTGGATACCTGATCCTGAGGAAGTTTGGAAGTCAGCAGAGCTGCTCAAAGATTACAAGCCAGGAGACAAAGTCCTCCTGCTTCACCTTGAGGAAGGAAAGGTAAGAATTTAGTGTTATTTGTTGTCATTGGCACAAAGTGAAGGGAATTCAAAAGTGTTAAATTTTGAACCAATTTAACATTTTTACTTATTAAATTGATTACAAATGGCAAAATGGCAAACTCAAATTTCTATCCCAGTGGGTTAGTGAAAATAGTAGATTCTTTAAAAACCCATTATTTTTGTCTGTGAATTGATTATGATTAGATTTATATTCACATATAATTCTCCAAAACGTGTGTGTGTTTATCTGTATTTTGTTTAGGCTAGCATTAAAATGCTTTCATATTGCCCAGCTGAAGTGGCTCAGCTAGTTGAGCATCATCCCATGCACCTAAAGGTCACTGGTTCAATTCCCAGTCAGGACACATGCCTGGGTTGTTGGTTTGAGCCCCAGTCAGGGAGCATACAGAAGGCTACTGATGAATGCTTCTCTCACAATCTTCTCTCCCCACCCACCCCTCCTTCCTCTCTCTAAGCATGTCCTCAAGTGAGGATTAAAAAGAAAGAAAAAAATGTTTTTTTTATTAATTAACATATTTCATATCATCTAAGGAGCCAGTCTGAGATTTGGTATATGCTGGAAGTAATTATTTGAAAAATTTTACTGATAAGCAAGTGTGTATAAACACTTCGCTCATGACCAGAAATATTTAAAACCAATTGTGTCTCTATATTTCCCTGTCTGCATTCACAGGATGAGTGGATTTGTTTTAGTGTTACTCCTTTTAAATCTCTTCACTGCATTTGACAGGCCATGTCACACTTTTTCTTATAAACCTTTGTGGCATTAATTTCCTTTAAACAAGGAAACTATGTATAAATACATGAAAAGTTAAGTAAAGTAAAACTATATAGAACAGTTCAACTCCACTAAGATGTGAAAAGGTTAGTTTATGATTAACTACCAAATGAATAATACTCCCCTGACAGTTAACATGTATTGAGCACTTAGTAAGTCCTTTGTTTGCTGTAACTCATTCAATCCTCACAGTAAGCCTATGAGATGAGGCTATTATTATTATTATTACCACTTTATGGATGAAGAGACTGACGCTCAGATAGTTTAAGACTTGCTCAGGGTTATATAGGTATTAAGGTATGAAGCTGGGATTTAAAGCAAGGAAATTTGCCTTTATGGTCTGTGCTCATAACCACTCTGCTATACTGTAAAGACAGTAAGTACTTTAGGGTCCCATTAGAGGGACATTTCATTATGGATTGCTTTCTTAGGGAAGGCTTTAAGAAGGAAGGAAGGATTTTGACTGGGTCTTAGAAGGGTAGATGGATTTGGATTGACAAAGAAAAAGGAGGTAGACCCTGTGAGAATTGGAATGCATTTTGGAGATAGTTATTATAATAACTTGAGTGGAGCATAGATTTAGAAAGGCTGGTTTTCTAGCTCAAGGCTTGAATATTAAGGTACTGGCTATATTCCATGTTAAGAGGTGGCAAGAGGTAAGAGAAATAGATATACTTATGAATAGTATGACATATAATGTAATAAGTATAACAAGAAACAAAAGTAGAACAGAACGAGGATGGTCAGGGGCTGGGGAAGGTAAGGGGTCAGGGAGGCATTCTCTGAAGAATCAGTAGACGAAGGCAGTGCATTTCAGGGATCCAGAAAAGCCAGGCAAAGGCAGGGAGGCATGCATAGTAATGAGTGTTTGGGGAGCTACCCAAGTTCCATGTTCTTGGGATGTAAATGAGGGTTCAGGACCAGCAAGGGGATAGGGATGTAAAGTGAGAGTACAGGATCAGCAAGATCACAGAAGGCCTGGGGTTCATGCTAAAAATCTTGGGCTTCAACTAGTATGCTACGATGAGTGACTGTAATATTTATAAACAGAGGAAGGGGTGCCAGGTTGTGTTTTAGAACTGTAATATTTATAAACAGAGGAAGGGGTGCCAGGTTGTGTTTTAGAAAGGACTCATTGGTGGCAGCATGCAGGATAAATTTCAGGAGAGCAACACAGCGGAAAGGAGATTAGTTGGGAAGATGGTAGGGAAGAATTAGGTGAGATTAGGAGAACCTTTAATGCCAAACTAAGGAATTAATTTATTCAGCATTTATTGATCATCTATTATATGCTAGGTACACACTAGGCACTTTGGGCTATATTTTCTTATGTTAATTCTTATAGCAATCCTGTGGGTCAGTAGGTGGTATTATGACTATTTTCCAGATAAGGAAGCCAAGGATCAGAGACATTAAGTAGTTCTGCCTGAGATTACACCACTGGAAGTGGCTTTTGTGTATTGCAGGGGCCAATGCAAGGGCCAGTCAGCTTTGCGGAAGGACATTTTCTATAATAATAAAAGCATAATATGCTAATTAGACTGGATGACTTTCCGGACAAAGCTGGGGCTGCGAGGGAAGCCCAGCTCCCAGGTACCTGCTGGCGACTGGAGGGAAGCCCGGGTCCCAGGTGCCAGAGGGAAGCCAGTGCCAGCAGCCGGGGGAAGGAAGGCCTACTCTTGCACAAATTTCATGCATTGGGCCTCTAGTACCCTAATAACAGGCAGAGAGAGGTAGAGTGGCAGGTTGTAAAATTTCCCTGCCATTTAGCATAATTTCAAACAGATTTGAATATATGACCTCATCAGTATTAAGTGACTTTTTACAAAACCAGCTTGTCCTTCCCTACAATTAAATTGCATTTTTCCCCCTATTCACTTGTCATGTTATTTGCCTTTAATACATAGTTGAGTTACAGTTTCCATGCTTGGCTTTGCCATAAAGTCATATTCTCTTGAATTAAAGTGAGTAAATACTTCTTAACTTTGAGGCCAAGTACCTCATTAAAATCAAATGAAAGCTATGGACTGTCTTTCAAATAAGTACATCTAATCTAATAATAGACAAACATGATAATTGACCATACCTCTGCTATGCTTACCATTGACTAATGAGCAGGATATGCAAATTAACCCAACCAAGATGGCGGCCGGCAGCCACACAGCTGACGCAAGCAGGAGGCTTGGTTGCTCCAGTGATGGAGGAAGCCAAGCTTCCTCCCTGCTGCAGCCAGGCTCTGAGCTCCACTCTAAGCAACAAAGTTGCAATTATAGAAGCTAAACAAACCCCAGATACCTGCTTTCAGCAGGCCGTGGCCTCGGAACTGGAGCAGCAACAAAGTTTTAATTATAGAAGGTAAATAAATCCCAGAATAAAAAAAAGAAAAAAAAGGAGAGGCTGGGAGCTTACGTCGCCAGGGTGCTTGGCCAACCTGCAAACAGCCATCAGCCCCTCACTCAGTCAGGCCAAACCTCCATGGGATGAGGGTCCCCACTGGGGTGGACATCCTCCGAGGGGCCCCACACTGCAAGAGGGCATAGGCCAGGCTGAGGAA